ATTTATCAATGTTTCTCGCGGAACCCCTAGCGACATCTTTCGGAACCCTAGAGTTCTGAGGAACACTGATATAGAAACACTGCTCTAGACTGATACAAAATGCCCGGATACATTAGTGGCACCCCATAATATTGTGGTTTACAATGTTTTGATATTTTTCTAATAGAAAAAATAATTTCATGAATTGATTTACCTCCGTTCCCTTTCTTCCTCCAGCCCCTCACCCACATATTGGAGACAGAGATACATGAATGAAATTCTACAATCCTTCCTGAGTACCTGAAAATTGTGTTTGTGAAGCTCGCATAGTCACAATCCTAACTGGTCTTTTGAACAAAAGCAGAGTTTTATCGCTTGTTTCCCGTTTAAGTTCCTTCTAAAGTTTCCTCATCCTCCTCATCATTCTTCGACCTCCCTATGGTTGGTTAGAACTCTGTTAACAATCCCCTTCCACACTGTTCGGTTCAGTATTGCTAATAAGTAAGTAATAAATAAAATATTAATAAAAAATCATTATTTCTTTTTATATATATATATATATATATATATATATATAGTCATCCACAGACAAACTGTTTCACAGTGGTTAGACATCTGATTGCTTTAAGCCGGGATCGAAACCCGGCGAACGGTTGAAAGAAAGGCAAACTTTTACGTACTTACTCTGTGAATAAACATGCCGATGACCGACAGTGCTTAATTCAGGGAAGAGCCTTGTAATATTATTAGTAGTTGTAATTGTTTACAAATTTGCACTTATCTTCCAAGATTGCCCAGCCGAAGTTAAGTTTTTCGGGTGCGTATATATCGCCATCCGCACACAGACTGTTTCGCTTTTTCACAGCTCATCAGTGTGCCTAAACATCTGATTGCTTCAAGCCAGGATCGATACCCGACTGATTTGGCATCAGTCGGAGATTTTCTCACAATATATATATATATATGTGTGTAGGGGAGAGAGACACGGTATCTTGAATCGTGTGCAAAATGTTTAATATGCATATTAAAAAAACGCAGAATAATTGATACATTCTTTTTAATGAGGTCTCATCCCATTTAACTGTTACACATGACGTCGACTGTCGATTGTTTTAAAAGTTCAGCTCTCTATAAAGTACCAAGATGTAACCAACCATGAACTTTGGCCAGTATATCCGCTATTTCGAGCCTAATATAAAACATCTTATTCGAAAATTGGCTAAATACGATAAAAAAATAAGCAGACAGATCGTGTCGAATGAATTTAATAAAACCTGTTTATATTTATATACTTTATAGTGTGAGAAAAGAGTATATAAATGTTTATATACCAGAACAATGTTAGGAAAAAATAAAGTGGTAAATCTTTTTCGTGTAAAGCGTTTTCTCCTTTAGGAGTTCATCGAACTAAAGTGATATTTACGTTAAGGTAATTACAGTTTATCATTCCCTAATGAACGAAACGTGTGGTCATAAAACGTTTTCCTCTTGTCTGTTCTTTTATTTATAATGTATCTACAGATATATTTTATTTAGATCAGAATGTTTACACACACACAGACACACACCCACACATATAAGTACCTGATTCCTCCTGCTATGGTCTACCATTACAAGAGCCAAATCAGGCCGAAAATAGAGTACTGCTGCCATATTTGGGCAGAAGCTGCCCAGTCAGTCTTCACTTTCTAGTTCAAAAGTGTCTCCGCGTCCTTGTCTGTGATAAATTATTTTCGACCCCTTTCTCACAGACAAAACTTCACAAGCCACTCGCTGCTCTATCGCTATTTTCATGGAACGTGTTCAGACAAACTACATTCCTTAGTTCCACCAGTTCTAACCTTCATGACTAAAACCAGTCATACCTCGCACATTGTAGCGAGCCACCCACATTCCCTTCGTATTCCATCAGTGAGATGTAAGTTCCACTCGAGCAGCTTCTTCCCTCGAACCGCTGCTTTGAGGAAACGACTCCTAAGGTGATGCTTCCCTGATCCCTACAATCTTAACCTGTTCAACTTCAAACTAAAGAATGCCATATTTATTAAAAGAAAAAATAATTTACTTAGAAAATTCTTGACAGTGCTGCTATCGAATCTTATCAAAATATAAATCTACGACCGGGATTTTTGCAAATATCTCCGTTCCTGAAAGAATTACTTCTTTCCCAAGTAAACTTACCTGACTATAAAAATGTAAAAAATTTAAAAGAAAACGATTAAATTTATAACCTTCTATTATTTACAATATATAATACATAAGTTAATCCCAAAGTAAAATAATATAAATATTTATAACATTATTTTTTTTTTAAATTATTCACTTTTATTTTTTAGCCATTAAATTACGTCACTTAGCAACCGTTATGATTTATCTAGACTTTTCAGTAAGTCTGATGAATATTTATGGGCGTTATTAAATTTAAAAATTTTGTAAAATTAACGATACTTTTACTTTTGTTTATAAATACTTGTTGCAAGATAAAATCCTTACATTTACCTTGATAAAGTCTATCGGAGGACGAAACGCATCCGCTAAAGTTAAGTTTTCCATTCGTCTTTATTTTATTATTATATATATATATATATATATATATATATATATATATATATATATATATATATATATTGCTGTTAAATTAACTTGTTTAATGAGCCTAACTAGTGCAGCAATAAAAATTTTCTTACTTTTAATTATTAGTTTTCAAAAAGGCGAAGATAACTAAGTATAAAATAATGAAATGTCTATATTCGCAAATACTGTATGGTGATCATATGCGGTTTTATTTATAATGGCACCTTCTATTGATTTACAGAAGTGGACATGACCCATGCATCACTTTCGGGCCGATTACGTGATATTTGCAAGGAATAAATTTCTCTGCTCATCCTAGTTCTTTTTCATGTTTCCAAAGATGACAAGGGAAGAAAGATTAAATAGTTTTGTCTTATGATTTATTTGCAAACATTTTCACACGTATAGGTTAAAAAGCCTTTAAGAGACGCTTATGAACGAATCTGGACTGCATTCCAAAGAAAACCGGCTTTTCAAGGCAAGACTTGTTTCTGTCTGGTTGTACCTACATATTTGTGCGTACTGCGATGTGGTATTAATTCAGACAGAAACTGCAATGTCCTTATGATCATAGTGTCGTAGCTCCTCCGGTAAACTAATTAGATCTTTTATTCATAATGTCACGATAAAAATGTTTGGTTTGTACAATAGTGTATGGACAGACACCGGTGTAAATATAATTTCTTTTAATCGAAACCTTTCTACATTGAGGTTGTTTGTACACCTGAACCACACGCAACACCTGGATTTGTGTGTGCATATATATATATATATATATATATATATATATATATATTATTAATAATAGAAATCTTATAAGTATAAGAAACTATACTTGTTCGGAACGCATCTAACTGAAAACAACAAATAAATCATACAAGAGCATTATATTTTGTTTTCGTCAATAAAACCGCCACCTTTCTTAATTACTAATTCATAAATTCTTGTCATTCTTCCGGCTTGTTTTGAAAGAAATGTAAATGCCAGACCTTCCCAAACATTCTTCAAGCAACGGAAAAGCTTACTCTCACTCTTTGGGTATTCTCTTCGAACTCTCCTATTCATTTCATCCTATACTAATTCAGTGGGATAGAGGTCAAGTCAAAATTTCCAATTTTTTTTTTTTTTTTGACATAAATTAGAATAGTGTTTTCGATCGTTGTCTTATTGAAAGGTGATTTTTTCCAATTATGCGTAAATCAGATGGCATAGCATTCCTTTCACTTAAATCCCCAGCCGTAAATGACAGGGAAGCAATAAACCGGAAGAGTGTATCACAGTCGAGAAATACAAGAAAAGAATCTATTAGAATAGGACTTATAGATATATTTATGTATTTCAACAGTAAAACAGTGATCCATATTTGCCAATCTAGTAGTATGTTTAAATTCATGCGATCGATGTACCAGGGAGGTTAGTTAATTAGAACAATTTCCATGAATATATTTATTAAAAAAGACAGGTGGAAGCCACGTCACGGCGATGGGAAACTGACTGAAGTCGAGGTGTCAAGACAGGACCGATAATATTACAGACCCTTCTTTGGGTATTATCGATGATTTCAAGATATATAACAGGAATACTTAATGCACGGACGAATAATATATTCATAAATGTACAAGATGGAATCTGCCAATTAAAATTGTTTAGCACAGAAGACCGAGCAACTGATTCAATATGATCGTTCCATTTCATGTCATTGAATAACATGAGACCAAGAAGGTGCCGTGATTTGCTCTCCTGGAAGTTAGCATCAACCATGCTAATAGACGGCAAAAATGGTTCTCTATGATTAAATATAGCAGTTTCACTTTGGAGACATTAAAATTTACAATCCATTTCTTATCCCAATTAAAAACTGATTGACTGTCATTTTGGAGTGCAGCTGCCAGTTTTAATTTATCGAACCTATCGAACTATTAAGACGGGAGAAAATAGTTGTGTCATTAACATAAATACCTAGTTGAGAACTCCTGACATCGAAGCTCCTTACCACACTACACAAAGAATGTAACAGGAATAAATAACTAAAAATTATCATGACCTAACTTGAGAGAATATAAATTAATACGGATTAATAACGGAAATTCCTATATAAATTTCATTTGAAAGAAAACCAGAGAAGATAAATATTATAAACAATACGAGATCTAACCAGAAAGATCTATCCACTGTGAATATATTAAGAACCGGTTGTGCAGCCTTGATTTAACATGATAACAAATCAAAGGACTTTACTGTGAATGCACGAAGAAACGTTCTTCCATAGAACGATTCAATTGGTAGGGAGACCCCATTCAGTGAGATTGTGTACTGTGTGACTATTTCATTCACAGCAACCCAACAAGTAGGTTCTTCATATTTTGTTCTAGATTTTTTGAAAAACGTCACCTTGTTTGTCATCCACTCTATAGATTTGTTTCTCTGTGACTTTTGGGTATCAGGGTTTACGGTCACATCACGTTGAAACACCAGTTCCCGTATGATCACCGAAGTAAAACAACGCTGAACCTGGTCATTACCTAGATGGTTGCTCGTTTAGGAATACCATGTGCTGTAAACTTGGATGTGTGGGTGGTGTAATGAATTATTAATCGAAGAACCGAATGCCAATTCCCGTTGTGTTCGTTATATCCACTTAGGCGCAAATACCTTTGCGAAAAATATGAAATCCCCCTCTTCTCCCTCCAGTTATGGGTTAATTAGTAAGACTTGTATCAGTAAACCATTATTATCTCAAAAAATTCTTACAGTCTAATAATATTTTCTGTTTGTAAATAACCTTCAGTGGGTTAATAAGCCGTATAAAAGGAAGCAATCAAATCATATTAGGTATCATTGTTGAAAGTGAAGAATTTTCAGACCGTGGACGAGATTAAGGAGCACGTGACAAAGCAGATGGCAGGAAGCCTGAAAAGTGTTAAATACCCTGTTATTTATATGAGATGCCAATTGGGGGGATTTAAAAGTGCATTAATGCGCTGTTGCTCTAAGTAGATTATTTTTTTTCGATGATATTAAATGGCTGGATCACGTACAATCAGCAAAGACGCAATATGGCGAAATATAGTAATTGATTTCCTTGGATGTGCATTAGCTTAAAAAATGTCAGTAACGTGTTTCTTTGTTGGACAATGACAATTCTGACACACGGATATATTTGTGAAATGCTCGGCGAGAATCGAACTCGCATGACTGAAAATAAACTTGTTAACCACTACTCTCTTGATATCAGGTGCTCATTTATTATTATAATGATGATAATCGTTCGGCATATCGTTTCATTTGAGAAAGTTATGTAATTTCTCATAATCTTAAACTACTAATATTGATCGCTCTGATAGATAGATAGATAGATAGATAGATAGATAGATAGATGAAAACAACGCATGAAATACTTAATGTGCTTAAGTAAATGGATGGTGGAACAGGGTTTGGGAAAAATAACAAAATGATAAAATTTATTAAGAGCGACAAAAAACAGGAAATTGTGGAGACCCATGATCGCTTACGTCCAGAGGGAACACGGTAGATAGAGAAGAATGGGGAATCATTAGATCGTTACATAACTAAAATACCAAGTTACATATTTTTATGAAATATATCAGTTTGATGCTTTGGTACACACCGTTAGTGACGTTTTTTTTTTTGTTTTTTTTGTTTTTTTGCCAAGGATCATCCAGGGTTTCGGATCTTTCAACATCATACCCACTCTCCACAGTGACCCAGCCTGTACTGATCAGATGTCGACTGGTGTTCCATCCGTTAGTCACGACTATTCTCATCATGTGCGCAGTCCATTACGACTCGTACTCGTCAGGCATCTTAAAGAAACCGTATTAAAGAATTCCCAAAACTAGCGATGCAACCTTATTGAAAGATGTTTTTAATTACAGTTATTTATTTACTCAGTGTAGTCAAGTTTTGTCACAAGGCCAGAATTATGCAGAAACAATTGAGGATTATACTTATTATTCATTTGTAATGATATGCAATACCAACTTACTAACCTTTAAACCAAGATGAGGCGCCTTATTCAATTAATTAAAAGCAACCCCCGACTAAATTTCTTTGTCTATATCTCTTTCTCTTTTTATTATATTCTTTCCACTTTTGTGTATGTGTGCGTTCGCGAACGCATATTCGATTAAGCTTTCATGATTTTGTTAAAATATATTTAATAGTAAAACAGAAAATCAATTTATATACCGAGAGATTGAATTGTACTATAATCGATCAAAAGTTAACGCGTGCTCTACTTAAATTATATGTGATGTAATAATAGTGACAAAACGTGTCAAAATTAATACAAAAGTCTCAGGAACTCAACAACTTTACCAATTGAAGCTTTTATTAAAATTTTGTACACCATCATCATCCAAGTCCTTCCAAAAAAATCAACTCAACGCGGTGTATTGGAAAACAAAATTTTAATATAAGCCGCAGATACCTTTCTTTCTACGCTACCGACGTATCTTCCAGAGCGTGATACATTATACAGCACCCTGATGACACAGCACTTTACACAAGTACATTTTCGTTGACATGCTTAAACACACACCGCAATCACACTATTCGACTCTTTTATGGAATTACCCCACTTACTTTCCTAAAAAAAACTGTCAGTAGGGGACGCTCCTTAAGTTTATGAATAGGAAGTAACATGCTCTGTCATTCTTTTTTACCTATTTCACTCAGGAACGATAAGATGTAGGTCCACACCTAGGTACGCATACGCGCACACACACGCACGCCAGCACATTCCTCTTCACTTTTCATTACTATTCTCTAGGACTCCTTCTACACAACTTCACACACACACACACACACACACACACTAGTTGAAATGTTTTCTCATTCATGTTCATTGTTTTGTAACACGCAACAATATTCTAGTGTTTATGTATACCCTTGTTTTGTTAATACATACTTATCGTTTGTTTATATAAATAGTTTTGTTGTTACTTTGTCATTTTATTACGCGGACGAACATTCCGAGGCCGCCATTTCTGCTGTGGGATAAATACACCAGAAGACACGTGTTTTTCACAACCAGCATACGCCCGCATTAATATAACATGCATTGCCTTCATTCAAATTTCTTCAATGATTAACCTATGATTTCACTTTATTATTTACTATGACTTTTTACATTTATGAAAAATAACTTGTTCTAGTTCATTTAAGTGCATTATCAATATTTTTCTTTTTTTTTATATGCCGTGTCACCTCACTACGTGGGCAATCTTAAATCTCCACAATTTTCTATTTCTTAGAAATGTTTGTCTTTTTACTATCCCTTCCACCCACTGTTTTCTCATCCATTTACACAAACTCGTTAGGTTGGTTACTGGCTGCTTCCCTGTCCTTCTTGTCTTCCATATATCCAGTCAGTGTCAACTTTTCTAAGACTTCATTCCTCATTATGTGCGCTATAATTTTAAAATGTCTCTTTCTGATTTTAAGTATAAAGGCACGGAATAGAAACCTATTTAGCAATCATCGTTCTAGTCTATATTTGGGTTCAGACATTTTAATTTGAATGAATTCAAAGAAACAAATTATGTTTGAAAATCATCATTTCGATATAGATATTTACTAAGCTTTGCGAATAATTTTGTTTTTTCCTATTTTACATATTTCGCCTGTAAACTTTGTTGTATATTGTTCTGAAAATTGTATTTTATATTACTTTTTTGTGCTTATTAACATATAAAAACCCTGGCATCATACGGACATTAGATTCTGAGAAATGGTTAAAAATATTCAAAATGGATGTGTGAACGAATAATTTCGTCGTTGACTATATATATAGTTAGGACCCTACCCCTTCCTCTAACCGGATCGATAGTGGAGATAAAGGAGGAATTTAACCTATATAATTATATCAACGTGTATACAATTATTAGGATATTACACCAAATGATATAAAAATTCGCTACACAGTTGCTGTCGTGTTTCAATGCATCTCATTAACTGATTGTAAATTACTGACTAGTGAATGATATATTTAGATTTAAAAGCAAAATACATGAGTATGAGGTTTGAGGGCTTTACTCTGATCAACCAATCAACCAATCAAATATGAGCTACGCTAAATTTAAGAAGAAGCAAAAATTAAAAATTTTATAAATGGATCATGACCGTAGGTTGGCAGCTAACAGCAGCCATATATAAACTTAAAGCGGATACGTATGGTTACATCTTATATATAAAGTACAGTGTATGTGTGTTTGTGCATGAGTGGGTCCAAGCAACTCCTCCGCTCGCAATGGTCCGATTTCAATGATTCATAACTCATTCAAAAGCCCTAGAAATGTTAGGCACAGGGAACGATTTTTGTTGAGCTCAGATTCAGGGTTGCCAGATTATGCGACGTTAAAAATATATATTATATTATCCATTATCGTTATTTTCATGGTTCAAGGAGAGTAACTTTTATTTTTCTTTTGTATCCAAAATTGCAGCTAGCTTAAGCTCCTGTGAATGACTCTTGGTTTGGCCATCATTACAATAGATATGAAGAGTAGATACGATAGGTACCAATAAACTACAGAAGAACTCAAAATTGATCGCTGCATTTAAGTATTGAATTGATGTTTAAGCATACCTTTTTAAAGTTCAACGATAATTCTTCTGCTGCTATTTAATTTAAAGACGATTTGATGTAAGTAGATCCTTATTTTCCGTACAAACAATTATTTTTATTTCATGGGTGACAGAACAGGAGACAATTTATAAGATAAAATTAATATAGTGTAAAGATGGGAAAATAGAATTAGTTATACATTCGAGGAGGCAGAACGGAACCTCTCAGTATAATTTTCCTCAGTTGACAGAGTCGCCTCTGAGTGTATTCTGAGACGCAACTGAGAAAATAATGTGTTACAAACTACTCAAGAGAGTCGTTTGCATTTACTTCACCCCCACCACCAGACCACTGAGTCAGGTTGTGACACAAGGTCGTTTTTTAACGCGGAGAGCCGAGTGTCTTCACTCGGGCTGCTGGTCTTAGCTGGTCATAGTTTGTCCAAACTGGTCAGAGCTGGTTTAACCTAGTCATGGCTGGTTTTGACTGGTCATAGTTGGTCCAAGCTAGTCTCAGCCGTGATACTACCAGCGCAGGGACGGATCCCTGCGTCCGGTAAGTATCAATGTTTACAAACTACTCGAGAGGGTAATTTGTATTTACTCAATGCCCCCACGAGATCAAGTTGTGACACAAGGTCTTTTTTTAAGGTGGGGATCCGAGCGCGTACACCCAGATCAGTAAGAAAAAAAAATGCCCGCAGCCCTCGCAACCGTCGGTTGCGCTGGTCTCGGTGTGAGCACCGATCCTTCTCTCTGGTGCAATGAGAGGACGCGGCCACAGGAAGCTGTTCCCCAGGGCTGGGCACCTCTCAGTATAATTTTCCTCAGTTGCGACTTTGACGAAGTCGCTCCTGAGTGCACTCTGCCTAAAGACAGAGAAGCAACTGAGAGATGATAGATAATGTGTTACAAACTACTCGAGAAAGTAATTTACACAATCCCCACTAAGACGAGTTGTGACACAAGGTC